GAGCGCGAGCCTTTTTTCCAAGCTCCTGGTGTTGCTCCTCGAACGCCCCGTACAACGTCTACGGCCGAACGGGCCGCCGATCGTTTCCTGATGAATGCGCCCGTCCTACCGCCCATGTCACCGTTGCCTCCTTCGCCGACGCAAAATTACGATGAGGACATGCTGCAGTTGTTAGGCTCGCCTTTCAACTTGCCGGACGACGTGATGAGCGTTCTGTCTAGCGACACGCCCTTGTCGACGGGGAGCAACTTGGTCCGGGCCATGGACCCACCATCACCCGAACCATCACCAGGTCCATCCCCCGATAGAACACCCGGTGTATCGCCAACCTTTTCACCCTCAGCATCGCCTGCGGCATCGCCCCCTTCGGAAGTGGCGAATTTGGCGKCATGGACGCCAAGCAGTGGGGGGAGATTGACGTCTTTACCCGACGCCACTTTGGATCAGATGAACAAGGAGGAATTGCGCGAGTACKCCGAGGCATTGAAATCGTTGGCAGAGAAGTATCCCCAGGTGAAAGAGACCTTGACACCTACCATCAAGAACGTGATGACGCGGGTGGACGGTCGATGGCGAGGCAATCGAAGCGAGAAAAGGATGGACTTGGCTGAAGTGGAAGAATACGTCAAGGAATTGGAAGCCACCGATCAAAGCAAGTTTGACGAAACGTCTCAAATGCGGATTCGCTATGCCCTGGAAAAAGCCCTGGCACGGCGACTGCAGCTTCGCAAGGAAGCCGAACGAGAGAGGAGGGATGGCGACGACGACGACAATAATGACGATCATGGGGAACGATTCAAGAACGCGGATCAAGACACCGTGTCTAAAGCCTTGCGCAAAAAATTAGGCAAAGGAGATCATCAAACCATCGCCAATACCACCACCGTGACCACGGTTCGTCGAGGCAAGCGGCCTGTGGTGGAACGCGAGCATAACAGTCAAACCTTCCCCGGCCCAGGCAGCGACAACGACGAGGATGGCGATGACGCGACTATTGAGGGAGGCGTATTGCGGCGCAAGCGAAAATCTCGAGTGTCCAAATCCAAACCTCGTCGCAAGAAACACAGCCAACAGGGAGGCATCGTGGCCGACATGAATCCGTATGGAGGGTATAACAAGAGCCCTCACGAGGTAGTGGATCAGTACATTCAATTTCTTCGCGACGCCAAGAGAAAGAAACTATCATGAACGTAGAAGCAATCAAACCGTTTAACTCACGATGGCAGCATCCTTGCAACATCGTCGTGGCCGGACCCTCCAAGAGTGACAAGACGCGGTTCATTCGCAAGATGATTCGTCATCGGGCTTGGAAGTTCGATCCCCCATCAAGTACGTGGTGTACTTGTACAGCATATGGCAAGACGAGTACGACAACATGAAAAAAGAATTTGGAGACGAGGTTAAGTGGGTCAAAGGACTGCCGGACGATCCCTATGCCTTGTTCAAGCGAACCCCAGGTCTGCTGATCGCGGACGACCTGATGGGGGAAATGGAATCGGATCATCGTCAAATCTCGAAGTGGTTTACCAAGGGAACCCACCACATGGACGTGAGTTTGGTCGTGCTCATGCAAAACGTGTTTCCCGTTCACATGCGAACCGCCTCCCTCAACGCCCACCGCATCGTGCTGTTTCGCAATCCTCGAGACAAGTCTCAGCTGCAAGTCTTGGCACGTCAAGCTTTTCCGGGTCAAGCCAAGTGGTTGAACCGTGCTTTGGAGGAAGCCAACAAGCGACCGTTTCGCCCGCTGATCATGGACTTTGATCAATCCACGCCTGACGAGTACCGACTGTCGTTGGACCCCTTCCCTGAAGATTTGAA